AGTGGGACTGCAGTTTTCACCAGCAGTGTTAGTATGTACCTGCCATAACTGTGTGTTCGTGTAGTGAATTCATATTCAGTGTTGAAGCTTTACATTGAAAACATCTGGAGGCTGCAGCAAGTGCAATCTGTTGCACCAGGCGCTGGGTTTCCACTGGCGCTTGTAGAGGTGGTATGATGAAAGAAAGAGCAGGCAACTGGGCGCACGTAGATGGAAGGCCGAGAGGCATTTTTTGTTAATAGTAAATCTCTTTCCACGACGTATCTGGGGCTATTGCAAAGGCAGGCAGCGGGAAACTCTTAATCTTTGTATTTTGCCTATATAGGAAACAAGATGAAATGATAACTGTTTCTTCTTTTCTTCTTTTCTCCATGCTGCATAAAAACAGTGGCCAAGAGCAAATCTAAGTAAGTGATGTTTTCCTCACCGGTTTTTGATTTTCTGCTACCACTCTGTATCTTCAAGTGACTTTACAAAATATTAGGCTTCTCTAGAATTGTTTAATGTACCCGAGAGAACTGAAATCCTTGAGTGTAGCTTTGCCCTCTCTGTCCTTCTGCATGTCTGTCTGCTCGCAGGTAGGTACAGAATGGTGTGAAAACCGCTCTAGACTCTAAAAATGTAGCAAAGGCAGGTTTTGTCCTATGGGCTGTCGTGTTGAGCTGAGCTGTAACATCCAAAGTGCACTGCGCACGGGAAGCATGCCTCCATGCTTTGTGATTAAAGAGAGGCTATAAACATAATCTTCCTTCTGTTTGCCTTTTGTATTCTTTCAGCTGAGGAGGACAAGCCAGGGTACAGCGTGCGTCTTTGTTTGTGGGCTGGGCTTTGGGCAGGTGCTGTGAACCTTGGGCAGGGTGCAGAAGGCTTCCCACTTCTAGCAAGCTCGTATGTTGATACGTGAGGAGATGCCCAGTGCTCCAGGCACCTTGGTTTGCTCTGTAGTTCAGCTCAACAGAGATGTTCATGGGCTCTGGAAGAAAATTAGTCATAGTCCTCTGACCTGCAAAGAAAGCTGATGTGTGTTAAAAGGTGAAAAGGAAGCTATAACTACTTTGAGCACACCAGTAGCCTTACAGTGTGGATGCATGGAGACAAGATCATGTAGAGAGAATGTCATAGCTACCTTTCTTCATTGGGCAGCAAGTTTTCTGAACAAGGCGTATTGTTCAGAAAGGGCTTGGCCTCAAATATGTGGTGCACGAGAATTTCAAGGCCTGGTGATACTGATACCACTGATTCCCGCCAGAAAGGGGAAACTGCACGGAGGCTTTGAGGAAGTGGGTGAGGTATAGAGGAAGGAGTCCGTGTGGTTACTGGTGCTACACATCACACCTGCAGTAGTGTACAGGGGGGGACAGTAATTGGGGATAATTCCTAGACTATGGTTGGTCAGTTGGTCTGCAGGAATCCAGTGTTTTTCTGTTTATTTTGAACTCGCCAGTAAATTAGATTGCAAAGCTGAAAAGGGAGAGCTCAAGGAAGTACACTGGTCAGAGCTGCACCAGGGAGGAAGAATGGATGACTCTTCAAGGTTAATTTTGACAGACCATTTTGTATTAGAAGCAGGAAAATCAAGGAAAAATAATTGAGTGGCCACATACAGAGATGTATCCATCTCTTGTTGTAATGGAAGAGAAAGATACCATTTACAGACTGATTAAAGGATTTGTCCTTTCTTTTGAAACTTCAGAAGATGCCCTGTGTCTGGGAAGTTGCACAGATCCCAGTGTACTTCCAGGGTGGGGGGCTGTGGTGGCAGCTTTCTCAGTGTCCCAGCTTGCCCAGCTCCCAGGGACACCGCAGCTGCTGCCAGTCTGTCCCACAGACCAAGAGCCCACCGGAGGGGAGAGGTTCCTCTGGCTGGGTTAACATCCAGCCCTGTATCTAGTGTGGCAGAGGGTGCCAAGGGGCCTTGCTTCTCCTTTTGCTTGCCTCTTCTTCCATGCTATCTGCTCGGGTTCCTCTCTGCATGTGGAAGTGATAGTCTGCGATGCAATGTTATCTACAGCCCGAACATCTTTAACTACCATCATCCTTCCTCTCTTGCCATTATCTTTTCAGCCATAGTGACTCAGTTGTATGCTGATTATTTTTTTTTTCTTTTTCTTTCTTTCTTTCTTTCCTGTTTTTCTTCCTACCCCCTTGCTGTTTCATGGAAGAGCTACTTCTCTCTGAGCTTGTATTCTTTTCAGGAGTGAGTTACTTAAACTTGATGCTGGAGCTTACAGTTTATAGTGGGCTCTGTGTCTGAGTTACAAGTTTTGCATATAATATTGGTGTTCCCATCCAGAACATCCATGCAGTTGAAAGGAAGTATCTATTTGTGATTGTGCCAAATTGTTTATGCTAACAGCTTCTCCATTTGACCATGCCCGGCTAGATAGGTGGTGGGCTGGTACTGCGTGCCTGTGCACTGACACAGAGATGTTCCTTCTGCCTTTAGATACATTCTGGTGAGGATGAAAAGTGCAGCTGAGACGGGCTTCTGTTTCAACATCAGGAGACTCCGACTGCAGGAAAAACTGGTCCTGCTGAGATACGATCCCATCGGTAAGAGAGCTTGGGGAAGAAGTCAGCCTACTTTGTATAAGCTTCTCTGACTGTGGGGGGCAAAAGATTTGAATATAACGGGATTTTTCCCATCTAAGCAGAATATGTCATAACATGTTTCATACTCGGATGACTGTACAGTTACTGTTCTTCATGACATTCCAGTGGGAAGTAAACGTTACCCTCATTTTACAGACTGTGGTAGTGAAACAAAGTAATGACTTGCCTGACACATCAGAGTCTTTGATGACAGCCATGCCACATGTCGGTGGCAAAGCAAAGTGACACAGGAGTTCTTTCACTCTGTTTCTTTGTGTGGTTTGCTAGACTGTGCTACCTCCAACAAGCAGCCACAAAGTATGCATCAACTGAAATGTTCTGTTAAGCTGCCATGGATGCTCTAGACAACACATTTGAGCCATCACTTATAAAATGGACTTGTTCTTTTAAAGAAATGAACACAAGTTCTTCCTCCTCCACAAATGATACCACTCTACAGATGACACTTCGTGGGTTCTTTTATGTTCCTCTGGTCCTCGCAGATTTTCTCAGTTAAAAGAATCTGATTTTTTTTTTTTTTGGGGGGGGGGGTGGGGGGGAAGGGTTATAGCACTCACCAAGCTGCCTTTTGCTCACCAAGCTTTTTGAAAGGTGACTAAGAGCTCAAGTTTTTGGGGGAGGAACTAGTTTGTAGTTAACATTAAAAAGCTTAATTTAATGTTAAAAAGCTGACTTTGGGGTAACTTAGAATTTAAACCAGACCAGGTGGAGTTAATGCAAAAAACACTAATTTAAATCTATAGAATAAAGAAATGCATTATGCAGCCTCTAAGCAGATAACATAATGCGTGGCCAGTAGTTGTGTGGTTCAAGCTTATATTTTCTTATAATTTTATGTTCTTGTTAGATGACTAACCTTCTCATACTCAGATGTAACAGTACAAGAGCTTTATGGCAGGTGAGAGAAACCCCCAGAGAAGCAGTGCACTTTCATCAAAGTGCTCACGCTGACAGAGGTTGTGGCTCTCCTTCTCAATCCCATACAGAAGGGGAATTGAGATCACTGGGATTATTTTCTTGAATAAGAAAAGTTTAAATTACTGCATCGAAACATTGTGTAAAGTGATCCTCCAGAAGCTTCACAACTTGTACAAAATGTGAAGAGAGTGGAGAGCTCAGGCTAAGTAGAACTTCTGTCACGGAACATGTAGTAGGTTGTTGAAGTACGAAATTGGAAGTAATTAAGGAAAAAAAGCTCTGATCTTTGTAGCCTGTAGTAGAACACAAGTGAGAAAATGATGTGAGAAAGTGCTGCATGTGTGAAGGGAAGTAAATTTGAGTCTAGATACCAACTCACATCAGGAATATGTTAGGAAGCATTTTCACTTGGCATGCATCTTCACCTTATGTTTTGTACTTCTCGAAAACCTGGGACCTCCACGGAATGAAGCTTTTTAGTGAAGTAGTGGCAGTAGTGCCCAAGTTTCACTACCTCCTAACTGCAGCAACAGAATGTGTTACTAAGTTGCAGTATTTCTTAAAGCGAAACTTTTATGTGGAAGAAGAGATTTTGTTGTTGTTTGGATTGCTCTTGCGTAGCTTTCAAAGGAATTCGTATGGTGAGTTCAATCAGAGCAGTGGTGCTTTTCAAATGGCATTGTAAAGCTTTGCTTTGATTTATTTTTCTCTTTTTTTTTTTTAGTAGCGCATCGGCTATGCTTAACCAGTAGCTGAAGTGCCTTTGGTAGCATCAGGTGTTGGGAGGCAGGGTCAGTTTGTGCCCCCACTGAGAGATCCACAAGGACGCTTCAGTAACTTTTCAGTCAGTCTGAGAGACCGACTAGATCCAGCTCATCGTCTGTAGTTGTTTGGGCTCTGAAGTTGAAGAGCAGTAGAAAGCAGCAAGGACCTATTTTTGTCCCTGCACCAAGTAGCTGTGACTCAGAATAGTTACACAGAGCAGCTGTTGAATGTTTTCAGCCACTCGGATCCCGATATTTATTTTCACAGAGGTAAAATGGACCTCTTAGGAACTAAAAATTGCATGCGGTAAAGTGAAAGCCCTACTAAACTTCAAGAGTTGGTTAACAGCAGCGCTGTGCCAGTCAGTTGCTCCACACTCATTGAAGCAGCGAAGGCAGCCAGGAGAAAGGGATGTAGGCTCGTTGAATTGCATCTTAACACTTCAGGCTTCTTAACAGATTCTTTTTTTTCCCCTATAGCAAAACAACGTGTTCTCTTCACAGAGAAGAGAAAAATCCGCTCTATCTGAACAACGACTGGACTTGATTTATGCACAAGGAGAGGACGGTTTGGGGGGAGAACGGGGTGAATGCTGATTCAGAAATCGAGCAACATGGGCTGAAAAGAGAGGAAATGAACTGGGATCACCGTCTCCTGTGATTTGAAGGCCATTGTGAATAAAACAATGTAGAGAGAGAAAATTCTTAATGTCTGGACATAGATCATCACAGTAACATTTATTTATCTTTTGAGTTATTTTTACAGTACTCAATTAAAAAAAAATTAAATAGCAAATCCCATTGTCTGTGTTTTCCATTGTGAAAGAGGCTGTAATCTTCAAAGGAACTATTGTTTTATAAGGCAATAAAAATTAACATTTTCCACAGCAGGAATTCAATGGCAGGATTGCAAGTTTTTCTAACCTACCAGCCACAGATTCAACAGTAGTAACCACCAATTGGTGTCACTCCTTGGAGGGGTTGTGGTTGTGTTGCACCAGCTCCTTCCTAGGAAAGGCAGAAGCAATGGGAACCGGGTGAAATACGATGAGTTTTTGGACAAGCTGTGACCACGGCTAAAAGGTTTATATTCTTTTCAGCCAGGTAAGTAGGATGGGTTTTTCACTCCTGAATTTTTGTCAAGCACGAAGAAGGTACATGGCCAGAGTAGTTTTCTGACGTGTCTGGAAGTTTTCCTTCTTTAATTAGCTCATCTATGGCTAGAAACATCTTCCAGAGTCTACCTCAGGAGCACTTGTCCTCGTTCCAGTTTGAGGGACCTCCCATGGTCTGGCAGAGGTACAGAGAACAGAGGGGCTGTGGGGAGGGTGCTTTGTTATGAGCCAGCCACGGGCCCTGGTGGCTGCAGCCTCAAACTAACGCTCAGCTTCACGTGCGGGCTCGGCACATGGGAACTTCTGATTAAAATTGAGTGGAAATATTACCAGGAGCCCAATACCCTCCGGAGGTTTTGCTGTAAACTTGGTGTGGTTCAGTACAGAGCATTGTGTGGGACGGCTGTGTGTGGGGCCAGAGAAACCTGCTGTGCTGTGTTTGAAAGACCCACCACCCCCACCCCATCTTCGTGTTGTAGAACAGGAACTGACAGGATTCCTCAAATAAGCAGCGAAAAGACTTTCCTGGTCTTTCCAGTCAGCAGAGGAGAACCTCGGTGCAGCCAGGAGAATAATGCTGTCTGGGACAAGATAAAATCAGTACATGGAGCTAGACAATGTCAATTAGAAAAGGTCCTGAGGCAAGTCCTTCCTGTAAGGATATGAAGATTGTGTCCCCGATGCCTGGACGCTCACTGATGCCACGCAGTTAGACTTCCTGATCATTTCCTCCATGGGTAACTCGGGATGGTAAGCCAGGTAGAAGGCCAGTGCTCCCACAAAACTGTCTCCAGCTCCCTAGAATAAAACAAGGGAGAAGTTTAAGCGTATTGGCTCAGGGAAGCAATTCAGATGTGTTTACTGGACAGACAAAAGTGGCAGCGCTGATTGCGGGAGTCAGGAAATTGTTCAGGCCTTGAGTTCAATTCACTTTTGTATTCCTAGGAAGTTCTGCCACGTTAAACTAACACCACAATACTGTCTTCGTGCCCAGCCCTTGAATCAAGGTATGCATTACAATATGGCTTAAACTTAAAGAAAAAAAAAAAATAAGCAAGTGTGCTAAAGTTCAGGAACGCACTGTTATAAACATTGCTTTTGAAACTTCCTGTTGTTGGAGTGTCCGATTTTGATTTCTCAACCTGAACGTTTCATTAAAGCTATTTTTCTCTCATTTAACTTCTGTTTTTCATAAAGGGCAGTGGTAGAAGGGACAGAGAAAAGGGGAAAAAAAAATAAGCCATGTGGCTTGTGGCTTCTGTAAATTCCTAATTGCAGAATGATACATTTTGATGCCTCCAGAACTTAGCTGTTGTTCATAAAAGGCCCCAATAATGAAGGTCTATTGTGTCTGTCGCGTAAACCACTTACTCCTGGGACAAACTTTGCCAACCTGTGCAGAGTTTGAGGAGGGGGGTGGAGGGCAGTGACATGCACCTGGAGCTCTGGCAGCTGTGGCCCCTTGAGCTACTGGTCCCTGGGCTGTCTGTGCCAGGAGAGCTGCCTGGTGCCCGGCCTGCCCCGTGCAGTCCCCCAGCAAACGGAACGGGCCTTCCCTGGGCGGGCACTGGCCGTGCCCCAGCTTGCCCTCACCCTCTAACCCTCAGTTCTCCTCTGGTCAGCAGGGAATGACAGCTGTTTGCCTCCTGAGTGCTTTATTAACAATAACCGTTGCTCTGCGATGCTCAGTGCTCCACAGTGTCCTCAACAACTGGCAAAATGAATCATTTTTAACTTCATTTGCTCATTTCATTGCCCTTCCTCCCTGAAAACTGGCTTGATTTCTAAGGCTGAACTGATAACAATTCTTGTTCACATTGTAAAACTGCTTCTAAGGTCCCCTTTTTTTAATCATACTTTTATACCAGTGAAAGCGTTACACTGCACACACCACAGATATCTTACTTAATTCCAGAACCAGCATATGGACTATCTCCCCTGAGGGGTTTTGCCTCTGAACTTGTAAATAGGCCCCAAGAGTAATGGGACAAGAGCAAAGGGCCTGGAAAAAGTCAGTTAAAATAGCCGAGCAACATTTCTGGAAGCTGAAGCTAGGAAGTAATTTTCTAATTTTGAGTTTTTAGTGCTTCTCAGTGTTAAACTCCTACTTACCCTAAAATCAGCTGCATATAATATCACTCTGGCACAAAAAAAAATAATACCATTTCCACAGAAATCTGTTTGTGAAGCGGCTGCCGGGGCCGAGCAGCATGGGGATGGCAGGGGAAGCCTAAGGGGGGTGAGGGCAGGATAGGGGTGCCCAGGCCGTGCCCTGTCTCTCCCTGCCCAGCCCTTCCACAGCAGCTGTTCCCAGGCAGGAAAATCCCAGCTTCGCCCTGGGCTGACGTTTGGCCACCGGCTCCCATGGCCAGCGCAGCGGGATACGGAGGGAACCTCAATAAGGGGGGCCGGGCCCGGAGCGCAGCTGTAGCAGCACCTGTTTCAACAGTTCTGTGTTCCTCAACGTAACGGGGACAGGTGAAGGTTTTTATCAATTTCTGTTGGGCCTTTGTCCCTCTCCTGCTTTCCAGAGCGCTCCCACAATGGCAGGTGGAGCAGGAGCAGGTGACTGCTGGTTAAGCATTGCCAGTGCCTTTTGTCTGAGGCACAATACAAAAATCTCCGGCCCATCTCAGAGTTTATAATCTAATCGGTGTGTGATTAATTATTAAAGCTGCTATTCTGGCGCTGCTGTTACAGACAGAATTTCAGCAAGCAGATCTGTTATGCCCGAGCTCTAGCAGGAAGAACTTGTCATTTTTACATCAAATATTTCTCATACGGTGATCACTGGGAAGCAGAAGCAGCCAAATATTATTTTAATGAAGAGTACTCAGAATATCCAGTGTCATATAGCATAAACTATTATTCGGCAGCAGCATGGAGCACCATACTGTCTTTTTGATCTTCTTTTTTTAATGGCAGTAATTAAATACTGCAATGTTACTGCACTTGTGGGTGATGCTCTGAGATTGTGAGACAGCGGTAGATCTATCTCTTCAGTGAGGCTGAACCATGTTAAATGACTACAAAGGTGGAAAAAGAAGGTGAGCAGCAGACTTCCAAACAAAACAGGAAAAGAACCCCCCCTAGTATTTTTTTGCAAGAGAAAAGATCATGGGATGGCTGGAGAATTTGCAAGGATTTGACGCCAGTAAACTTTCGCTGAAACCCTTACTTCCCACACATAGACTGAAGCAGTCAGTATCTCTAAAGCTCAGCTACCACAGACCCCAAGGGTGTCATAAATTCAGTTGTTGGTAAGTAAACGTTTTGTGTGGGGGGTGTTTTCAATCTCAGAGCTACTGCACTGAACGCAGCGGCATCAGCCTGATTATGCAGATACCCTGTTCAGCCTTGCTGCTGGTCTCTGCAAACACGACTGGTCAAACACAGCCTAAAGAGCAATAGCAGAACTGAGTCAGCTGCAATAAGAACTATTTTTGGCTTACAGAAACGGGCCTTCCCTCTTTGGTATTGTGGATTAAACTACGTTGGGTTTGGTAGATTCAGAAAAGGTCAGCACAGAGCAGAAGAAGGAACAGGCTCAGAGTGAAAACAAGATTATCCACGCTCTGGATTAGCAAATACTAGCTTTACATTTAGCTGTTTCAAAATCACCTATAAGAAAAATAACAAACACCTACTTTGGAAAAATAATGAATTCTGAAAATGACCCGTAAGCTGCATTTATTCTGCCCAGTGACAAACACAGAATATGTAATATTTTACATTCTTCAGCATTTGTCTTCCAGGAAGACATTGCAGACTTTGAGATAATCCTCATCTCTTTAAGTGCCTGGAGACAATTCATTCCATAATTATAAGAATATAACTTGTTTAACCTTTCTCTAAAGTAGTAGATGCTAGTTTGTATAAAATAAAGAATTGGATCAAAAAATTTGTCTGATATGGTGTGGCTCATTCTAAAATGCAAATGTTAAGGTTTTGACTAAGTATAATGGTTTTGAAGCAGAAAACCTATTTATATTCTGCGCCACTAGTCTAGAAATCCTTGTTTTCCTGCGTGTCTGGAAAAGGGCATTTTTATTTGTTAGAGTCCAGCACTGATTGAGATTCTGTGCCTCTAGAGAAGAGAAAACCCACGAGAACACTTCTATTTATACCTTTGCTTTTGTTAGTCCTGATTTGTCAGAAGCTGGTTCACAACTTTAGTATCACTATTTGTATACAACGCTGCCCTGAGAAGCTTTTTAAGGAAAGTGCTTTGTAAGTGGAAACTATATTGTTCAACAGTCTTTCCAGCAAGTAAAGCGTTTTTCAATCAATCATGTGTAGAATAATAGGATGCATTTCATTTACACAATAAGATGACTTGTTTGATGAAAACATTTGAAGGCCAAGAGGCCAAAAGCTACAGTTCACAGTGTCACAGGAGTTGCACTGCCTTGTTCCAGGGCAACCTCTTGCTCAGCCTTCACCCTCCCAGCCTGTCCTCCTGGGCCAGAGTCATGGCAACCGTCCAGCAACGGGAGGGGGCTCTGGTTCCTGGAGCCTGCCGTTGTTACTAAACCTCAGGAAACTTTCCTCAGGTGATGTTTCAAGAAGCCACGGTCCACGTACGCTTTGTGTATTACATGGATTCATTCCATTAAATACATTGTAAGAGTACGTTATCGAGTCTTAAAAGGAATGATGTGTTGTATAAGAGAAACATTAGGCGTGCCTATAATGATAAATTCTTCATTTAGTGAATAAATCAAGATATCAATCCAAAGGCTGTCAAGAACTGCGTTATAACGTGGAATCAACGATATTGCTTGCAATGATGCTTATAGTCTCCTAGGAGCGTTCCCAGCAGTGTGGAAACAAACGAAGCCAGAGGATTACACTGATTTAGCGCCGTCTAAATGCACGGCACCGCGGAGATGCCCCACTCCGTCGAAGGAATTGGGCCTTGGAGAAATCCTGTGGTATTTATAGCACTCCATAACCGTGTGGTACTGGATTATGCTAAGGATGTTATCGCTCTGTGTCACATCTGTTCAACACTCCTTGCTGTACCCCTGCCTACGCTGTACCCAAACTACAAATTAGCCCCACGTAACGCAAAGGTATCTGCCAGCCAAGGCGCTCGCTACCTGCTCCTCAGAGGTGGGGAAAGCCTCTGTCTCCCTACAAGAATCCCTGGGCTGCGCTTTGATGAAAGGTTACTCGTGGAACTGGAGAAACATTTCCAGCCTTTGGGATATATTCAGACACTCTTGTGCCAAGAGGGGTTGTGTCTCAGCTAAGAGATAATTTCAGCTGAAATGCTCAGGGAGTAAAATATCCCTTGGTAACAGTGGTTGAATCAGTTATAGAGCTTTTCTTTTTTTGGGCTTTATTTTTATGATTTCCTTCTCCCTGAAACAGCCCATGTTTATCCTCTATGTGATGGAGAATGATTTATTTCTGGAAATGTTACTGGCTGCGTTTTTGACTTTTGCATTTATTTGCCTGTGCAATACTTTTTTATTTTTTTCGGGGGGGTTTAATAGCACCACCCCGCTTTTCTCCTTATGTTTTACTGGAGAGATGTTTTAGAAGTTTGAATTAAGACAGTCTTAACCTAAACTAACTCCACTATCTTGAAATTCTCCTGAAATTACACTAATTTGACTATCTTCAAACTATTTTCTAAGCTCAAGGCCTAACACTGGTGAGCACTCCCATGGTGTCCAGGGTTGAAGGACTGCCACCTTTGTAAGGCACCCACAGATACTGGTGGGGCTCTGTGTGTCTGGGCTTACAGGAGCAGACCTGTGGACACAAACCTCTAAAACTTGAAACATTTG